TCTCAAGACCCTGTTTTCACTTGCTTATAACTTTGTCAAAGTTTCACCACTGGAGCAGAAATTTTCCATAGAAAGTGATTGTCTCAGCTGGAATTGGGCACATTTATTTAGTTCTTTTTGAAAATGTGGACCCACCACTGGTTTTCCTGGGCTAGACTATGTATATATATAGCCCAGGGGACAAAAACTGTGAAACTTCTGGGCTTTCAAGCAAGGGCTTGGCCTTGGGCAGGACATCAGTTTTTGTGTCATGGAGGCTGTGTTTTGCCAGCTCCATGAAACACTACTGTTCTCTCCCACTAGCACAGACAAATTACATGGTTTTGTTAAACATGGAAAGAAGACTTGTCACAGCTTCACAGCTACAAACTCTTCAACCTTTGCTAACCTGCCCAACCCTTTTGGTTTCTGAGGGTGTCATGACAGCATATGGGCTTTCCCAGGGTGGAGCACCGCAGGGGGAAGCTGGGAGGGCTCTCCCTTCTAGAGCTGCTGTTATGCGTCACGCACTGTTTGCATCTCTCAATGCTTTCCTCTTCCCTGTGCTTCTAGCCACCTCTCTTTTGCCTTCTGGTGGATAAAAGTCCCTGATTTGAATACAAAAGGAATGAGACTCAAGGAAGAGAACCAAAAATCTGGGGAACAGCAAATGGAACTGGGAGGCAGATGAGACCACGAGCTGCAGGGAAGTGCTGGGTGGTTTGGGAAAGGGGCTACTGCCATGTTACAGCCATATCAGCTTGTGTTTCTGGGACTGAAGACTTCTCCAGTGTCCAAATAAGGGTCTTTTCCCAAGTCTTCCTCCCAGCTTTTATTGTTCCTGCACTGTTACCCCAAATGCCACCCGACAGCACATGTCACCTCTTGCTAGTCCTGCTCCTTGTTGAGGACAACAGGCAATTGCTGCTCGCTGTTATATCAGAATACACATTTCTCATCACTGAGAAATGTCAGCACCAAGGCTGGCTGTACAGCTGCCCTTCAATGTTCTCGTGCATATGAATTATGGTAGAGTCTTTAATTATGTGGCCACAGATTTATTTTCCACAGGACACCTGCAGCACACAGGTTAGACAGTGTTCTGGATGAGTCTGGGCTGTATCAGGAAGAAGGCTCTCTGCAGGGACTCAGCATCATCTCTTCTTTCTGTTCTTGTGTTGTTTTATTTTGTTTTTTTTTTGTTTTTTTTTTTTTTTTTCCCAAAAGTGTGAAGAGAAAAGAATGACTCATTGCTGAGGCAGTTGTGTGCTGGCCTGGATCCTTGCCCTTGCTGCGGATTTCCTACCTGATGCTGAGCGAGTCACTCACAGCAATCTTTTCAGAGGTAGCTATTAGCTAAGTTTTATTTATTTTGGCATTTTGCTTTGTTTTTAGCCTGGCGCTATCCTAGGATCCTGATGTCTCATTTGCAGGAGTATTTATTGCTCCCTGCTGTATGTGAAGGGGGACATGCACCTGACTCCAGAAAATGCTTTAAACTGCAGAGTGCTCTGGTAAAGTGCTCAGATCAGCATCCCCACCTTGTAGGCTGCATTTGACCTTCCCTCCAGGAATGCTGGATCTTCTCTAAAATGCTGCTGTATTGCTCAGTATGAATATTGAAAAGGCAAATCTATTATTATTTGTAAAGTACTGAGAAACTAGGTGTATGTTGTACAAAAAAGACCCTATGAACATCGATCACTGTTTTTGGAGTGGGGCCTGCACGTTCTGAATGAGCTGTGAGTCAATGCTCTGAAGAACTCTGGCAGCCCTGTTGGACGTGTCAAGCCACAGGTACCTTCCTCCTCAGGTACCTTTGCTCTTGAATTGCAGGTGGCAATGTGTTTGTTCTCGCTTCTCATCTCTTACTTTCACTGGTCTTGGAGAAGTAGAACCTCAGCACAGTGTCAAAGTTTCCTCTGCTCTTTCCCTGATTGTTCACACTTCCCTAGCACACACAAGTGTCTCTGTGGCAAACTGACTTTGGTCTTCAAAGCAATTTGTCCTTCTCCAGAGAGTGGGTGAAATGAGATTCGGCTCTTTGTTGATCAGGCAGAGCTGCCAAATGCGACCTGGCAGTTCTCGGAGGTCTGCTGGGTCACTGGAGCTCAGCTTTCCTGTGAGTTTTACTAGGTGCTATGAATATCATATACTGTGACTCTGGAAGGCCACCCACCCAGCCGTGACACTGTGAATAAACAGCACAGCTCTAGCCCTTCTTTTCTTTTCCTACCTGAAGAATAACATCATGGGCAGTGGAGAGGCTGGCTGGGTGCCCAGTGAGGTGTAGCCCCCTTGGATACACCAGCCCACAAGATTCTGCTCAAGACATGTTGCTGTGGGTTCCCTCTACAGTGCTGCAATGAGGGCACTAGGGACAGCCCAAGGACCTTTGCACATGAATAGGACAGCAGCCAAATCTTAGCAGCCCATCTTCTGCTTGCCTGCCTTCAGCAGCAGCACTCCCTGTAGCATCTAAGGGTGCCTTGACCACGTCCAAATCCTGTGAAAGGTAGACATGAGGTGTTCCAGGTGCAGGGCCCTGGTTGCTGAGCTGAGGGGCTTGGACTCCCTTCCACGCTCTTGCACCCAAAGATCCCTTCCAGGCAAACCAGGCAGACAGGACAAGGTGAGGCCTCCTGGGGCCTCATCTGGGAATGTTGTTTTGAATGTGTGAGCTGTGTCTCACCGCTGGCTCTGGGAGGTTAGACAGCCTTCCAGGTGCTGTTGTCTGAACAGAGTCTTAGTGTACCTTGGTTGGTGCCCAATCCAGTGCTAACCTGAGGGGGGCTTCCTCTTTGGAGAGGTGCACAGAGGAAAAAAGATACTGCAGCCACCCACCACTTTGACCACTGGGAGGAAAGGAGATGGCCCAGCAGAGTTTGTGATCATGGATTCTGCTTGTCCCTCAAATTTATTCCCTCCCCAACCCAGCCCTGGCTGGCCTCTCTCTAGTTGGGATCCCACTGTTTGTGTCATATATAACAACTTCCTTTTTCAGACTCTGGGGCAGAAGTTACCTGTTGCACTGCTGGAGCAATGACATCCCTGATGGAAAGAGGGTCCCTGCAGCACTGGCTGCTACATGCATAGCCAAAATCAGCAGTCCCTGGCCCAGGCTCCCTAATAAAAATTACTCCGTAAGAAGAGGTGTAACTAGGCAATGCTTGGAGGGAGGTGGGTGTTAATAGATCACATGGCTAGCCAGCACTAAAAGCTTGATTACAATTCAATTAAGGGAATGTTTCTAATTAAAGAGTTCTTATTTTAAGCTGTCAATGATTAAAATAAAGGTAGCTGAAGTGTCCGTACACACTCCAATTTCATCCCCAAGGGCTGCATCTAGGTTGGGGATTTCTTCAAATTCCTTCCCACCGCCTCAGTCAGCAACAGGGGGAGAGTTGGTATGGCCACTATCCTCCCAGACCTTGCACCTGCCGGCCAAGAAGTGTCACCCCAAACTCTGCTCCCATGAGGCATGCTGAGAGCTGCTTCTCCTGGATGCTGATTCAGATCCATCCTCCCCAGCTCTGTACCAGAGCCCACCTCTCTCACTGCCTGTGTCAGCCTGCCACTTGCAGCAAAGTCACGAGCGGTGCTGGGCTTTGGCAAATCCCTTCTCTGCTGATGTGCACCCACCCAGGGAAGGAGAGCAACACCCAGTTGGATCCAGCAGTGGCTGCATACTATTACCTGCCTTCCCATCTGCTCACTGTTACATAAGCTGTGAAAAAACATAGGCTCAATGGAGCATGTATAAGGAAATGTCATTACTACAAAAAACTCAATTAAATTTTAAATTCTCCAAGTGCAGGCAAAGTTCTGTAATAAAGCAGGCCCCGCAGTGGGAGAGGGAAGCAGTACTAGTTCCCAAAGGCTTTCATAAAAGGGGAACAATTCCCAGGTCTCAGTGGACTGTCAAGTCAGTGCGGGCACTGGCTAGCAGTGGCATTCAGAAGGCTGCAGCCCCCCATCTTGGTACGACTTGGAGCAATGACTGCTCTCTGCAGCACACAGTGCCAGCATGGCTGCAGCTGGGGCCTCTTGGTGCCGACAGCCTGTGCTTACATCGTGTATTTGGAAGCTGACCTAAGGGGCCTGGCTTAGAAGCACCTAAGGGCTGTTCTGGTATGGGGGCTCCTGAGCTCTTCCCCACCATACTTATCTCCAATTGCAGGAACTGGGGTTCTTGACTTTGGAATGCCCGTGCCAGAGCAGCTCCTGGACCCTGGTGAAGCATCCCGGTGCCTCCGAAGCTGGGCAGCATCTGGCTCTTGCTCCACAGGACCCTCTGTCCCTTTCAGCTCACACTAGGCCTTTCCTGCAGTCCTGCTCCCAGAGCCCTCAACAGCACCACATCCAGCCCCCATCCCCCAGAAGCCCCCAAATAGTTCCCCAGCCTGGACTCTGCTCCTATACCCCCAAATAGATCTGACACATCCTGGCTGCTCCCCCTGGCTCAGCTGGCTTTCGGAGGTGCTCTGGGACTTGCTGTGCCCACCTGGCCTGCAAACACCCCGGGATCTGGGGGGTAGCCCCAGCTTTGCACCCATCTGTTGGTGGTGGATGCCTCGTGGACCTCTCTCGGTCTACATTAGGGTTTATGTGCGTGCTTCCTCATTTGTGTGCGTTTGCAGGTGCTTCACGCAAGGGGCACCCCCACTCCTGAGGGGCGCGGGCTGAGCGGCCCTGAACGCGGTGGGGCCTTGCTGATGGGCCGCCGCTTGACATCCGCTGCCAGCGCGATGGGACCCAGCACCCTCGCTTGATCATCCCCATGCGGGGGCTGCCATTAGGGTGGGCTGTGCTCCACTCTGAGGAGAAACCTTTACGGGGGTCGCGGCCCCCAAAACCGAGCCCGTGTATGTCTGCCCCGCTCGCCTGAGCTCAGGGACGGCGGCTGGAAAGGCGTCGGGAGCGGCGGCCGTTGCGCCTTTAACGGCGGGCGGAGGAGGAGGCGGAGGAGGAGGAGGGCCGAGGCTGCGTTGGGTGACATCAGTGGGTTTGGCTCCGGGGCTCAATGGAAACTGGGTGAGCGTCGGGCTGTGCCGAGCACACGCCGGCTGGAGAGGACGGCGAGCGGGCGGGAGGCGGCAGGCAGCGCCGCGCCGCGCCGAGCGAAGGAGGGACGCGCCGGGCACGGCCGCCACCAGCCCTCCCCAATCCTCCGTCATCCTCCCCGCCGCGGCCGCCTGGCCCCCTGACAGCCGGCGGAGCAGCATCCCCACACGGCCCCCTTCCCGTCAGGGTGGGTATGGGGGGCGCCCGCCCGCATCTTGGGGCGCAAACCCCGGGGGAAAGGCGGCCCCTCCGGCTCTTTGTGTGCGCGGAGGGAGGGGGAGGGGG